TTGAATCCGAATTATCAAAATTATTTAAAAAATAAGAAAAATTTCAATTACCACGAAAATTGAGAAAAGATGAGAAAAAATGGAAAATGGAGAAAAACCGAAATATTGCGAAAAAACGGAAAATTGGGAAGAACGGAGGAATATGGAAAAAAGGAAGATGAGAAAAATTCAGAAGTTCCAAAATTTGTAGATTCTGAAATTTCAAAATTCTGAAGTTCTGAAACTCTGATGTTTTCGAGCTCTGAAATTCAGAAACTCCCTCAAAAAAAATTGTACCCCCGAATCACAAGCGTTGTACCCCTAAATGAAATGAGTTGTACCCCAGAATCATTGGTAGTTTGTACCCCCGAATCGTTGTACCCCCGAATTTTTGTACCCACGAATTTTTTACCCCCGAATCATCAATTTTGTACCCCTAAATCAGTTGTACCCCCTTGTACCCCCGAATCATTGTACCCCCCGAATTTTTGGCCGAATATTAGGACCTGGGGGAGGGGAGGAATTGCTGGGCGGCGGCGTGGATCCTATATGCTTTAGTCGGCGCATGTATCCTATATGCTCGCATAATGCGCCCCTATATGTTTCGTATTGCGAGCATATACTGCACCGCGCGATCCCATATAACGTTCCTCGCGATCCACCTGTGTAAATCCCTTGTGACTCCGCCCACTTCCGCTCCTTCACCAGGCGTCTTCACATCATCAGACCCACCTGGGCCTGCTTATTGGATTATGGTACTTGCCATATCTATTCATTCTCATTCCTTTTTTCTATTGTTCCTTGCACATTCTAATATTCCATTTTTCAGATCGATAATGCTCAGCTACCCAAGCTCTTTGTGCATTTTTGAGCATCTGGATGTGAATAGAAGGTTAGTTATAACGGATCCTATACCCCTAGAGCCCTTAAATATTGTTTGTAAAGTTTTATAAATAATCTGAAAGACAATTTCAAACCATGCGATTCTGTCCAGAAACCAACTTTCTAGCTCATCTAGAACTCGAGACACGGTCATTTGAAGTTTCCAAGGTTAGAGACGCAGCGTGTCTCGTCGTCTGCGTCTCTAGCCTCCTAAACTTGAAGCGGCTCTAGAATTGCAGGAAATGTTGTCTATTTTATAACCAAAACAAGTTTTTCAGTTTCGTTCGATCCTCATATTCCTAGATCCCTAGATCCCTAGATCCCTAGATCCCTAGATCCCTAGATCCCTAGATCCCTAGGTCCCTAAATCTCTAAATCCCTATCATCCCTATCATCCTCACTACATTCCAGACTCCAACTCGCCGCTAAATGTCCATCTCTCCGAACCGCCCATAGAATCGCCCCAATGAAAATCGAAGACCTGGAAATCCAGGAATCCTCAATCACCATCAACAACTGCGTCCAAGAATTTGAAGCCATCTCTCCCACAGAGATACAGTACACCTACACCAGAATGGGATGCGATTGGAAGTCTTCTGTCCAAACCCTGCATACTCAAGCTACAGTAACTCAAATTATCAAATCCCTAGTTGCCAATTTCTTCGGAAAGAACGCCAAAATCCACGTGAAGAATCTGAAAACTACCAGTGGACTTCTAGAAGCATTTGGACCGATTTTGAAGCTCTCAACGCCACTGGAAAAGCTGCGTACTAGTGTGAAGGGTCCATGGGACTCAATCTTCTCAAACCCGATTCTTAGATCTGCTCGCTGGTTGGTCCTGGACGATCTCACGGAGACGATTGACTGGGCGGACACCCTAAAACCCCTCGAGAACCCAAGAATTCAAATGGAAGGCTCCCAAATTGATCAAGACGTTTTGCATCGAATGGTTTGGGATTGGTTGGAAAAGCCACGGCCGATCGGGTATCGATTTACGACTCCGATCAGTGTCCGAGTCATCATGCGGTCGTTCTACGTGGAATTTGGGGCGTTCTGGAAGGATATTCCAACTGAATAGTGAGTTGAAAAGGAGAGGAAAAATTCACAAATTCGGAAAATTTTTTTAAAATTCAAAAATTCCGAAATTCAAAATTTCAAAAGTTCCAAAATTTAATAATTCAAAAGCTCCAAAATTTAAAAATTCAAAAATTCCAAAATTTAAAAATTCCAAAATTCCAAAATTTAAAAATTCCAAAATTCAAAAATTCCAAAATTCAAAAAATTCCAAAATTCAAAAGTTCCGAAAATTCTGAAAATTCCAAAATTTAAAAATTCAAAAATTCAAAAATTCAAAAATTCAAAAATTCAAAAATTCCAAAATTCAAAAATTCAAAAATTCCAAAATTCAAAAAATTCCAAATTCAAAAGTTCCGAAAATTCTGAAAATTCCAAAATTTAAAAATTCAAAAATTCAAAAATTCAAAAAATTCCAAAATTCAAAAGTTCCGAAAATTCTGAAAATTCCAAAATTTAAAAATTCAAAAATTCAAAAATTCAAAAATTCAAAAATTCCAAAATTCAAAAATTCAAAAATTCCAAAATTCAAAAAATTCCAAATTCAAAAGTTCCGAAAATTCTGAAAATTCCAAAATTTAAAAATTCAAAAATTCAAAAATTCAAAAATTCAAAAATTCAAAAATTCAAAAATTCCAAAATTCAAAAATTCCAAAATTCAAAAAATTCCAAAATTCAAAAGTTCCGAAAATTCTGAAAATTCCAAAATTTAAAAATTCAAAAATTCCGAAATTCAAAAATTCAAAAATTCAAAAAAAAAATTCAAAAATTCCAGAAATTCAAAAATTCAAAAATTCAAAAATTCAAAAAAAAAAATTCAAAAATTCCAGAAATTAGAAAATTCAAAAATTCAAAGATTCGAAAATTCAAATTCCCTATTTTTTCAGCAACGGCAATACCTACTGCCTTGTGATCCACACCACTGACACCTACGAACTTGTTGTCTACAGCCAAAGAAATCCCAATTTGGTTTTCGACCCTCGTCTTAGCGATGATGAATCGAAGCTAGCGCTGTTCACTCTGGAAGTGGTCCCTCTTGGAAAGACCTTGCCGTGTTCGACACGATTTGCTTAACGTTTTTGCTTGATTTTTTGTTGCAATAATAATTTTTGAGATCCTTAATGAAGAATATATTCTATCGCTGTTTGCGTACTTTTGTAGCTACAGTAATCCTTGGAAATGCACTTTTCGCACTTGTCAACATCAAATTCGAATTCTCCATCTATTATTCAGTCTATGTGCCAATTTTCCAAGCAAATGTTGTCGAATCCACGTGGCTATTCACCGACTCGCCAACTTTAAGATATTCTGAGGACCTCTAGGCCCAGCCCACTGTGCTTACTCCTCAGAAATCTTCCTATTTCCCACTTTATTCTCTTTATTTTCCTTTGTTTATTAGTCTTTTATTGCTTTCTCATATTCAAACTCCCGCCAATTTTCTCTCCCTTCGTGCAAGCGCGCCCTATCGTTGAGGTGAGAACTGACAGATTGGTGAGAACTGACAGTGGTAAGGTGACACCAAGAGAAGCCGCGTACTCGTCAACTTCGTATCTCATCAGTTCTTTTCTTCCACCATTTCGTTTGAAGAAGTCTTGAACTTCGATCCAAAGATCATTTTTACTGGCTATTACGCTTGATGAGATGCCGCGCGTTGAAAGGAAAGTGAGCAATTCTTGCTTTGACGAATTTTTGGTAGGAATCTATAAAACTCTGTAAATTTGCTTTTCTCAGATAACCAAAAACCTTTTCCACCACTGAATTGTGGATGCTAGCATTGTCGATAACCAATACAGCTTCCCGTCCAGCTGGTGTGGCTTTGACGATCATTGGCAACACCTTCATCATGTACTTCTTGTACATTTCCGAATTGATATACTGATGATAATCGACAAGCACCTCAGAATCTGGCCGCTTGGAAACAACAATATCGATGGATTCTGGCAGAATCTGGGATTCCGTAGTCACCGCAAGCACGATGGCTCTTTGGCCTTTGTCCGATGCTGCTGGGAATCCAGGCCTCGGATTATTCAAATTCCCCCAATGAGTGATCAAATAGGGATTTGTGTCAACGTGATTCCAACCGCGAATTTTCGTCATTCCGTGGAAAATCCACGTCTCATCGTAGTAGCAGATGAACGCTCCTTCCAATATCAACTTATCCATCAGTTTCAGATACTTTCTGCGCCACTCGATAATATCTTTACGAATAGTGGCAAATGGATTGTATTGCTTCAATTTGAAGCTCAATCTTAGAGCACGTAGCTGTCGATATAGCGTTGACGGACTATATGAATAGCCATACTGGTGCTCCAAATCGGCGTGGAGCGTTGAGATGGAGAAATTTGCATCTTCTTCCATGGCATTTATCGATGTGATCAAGGATTATTTGCTTTTCCTCTTCGGAAAGATGCTTCAGAGCAGTGGAGTTTCTTAATTTTCTGGTGTCTACATGACGATCTTTCGCCTTAGAAAGGAACTGTTTTGCTTTCGTAAGAGTCGATTCAGAAACACCGAACATCGCGCGGGCCAGTTTCATCACACTCCCAAATATCGTTTCCCTCGCAAATTTTCCCATTTGTTTTTTCAAGTTCTCGAGCTGCTTGATACCGTTTTGTAAAATTTGAGAGCCGCGATGATCTCCAGCAGGCTTTATAACATCTACTGTAGTCATTTTCGCCACTACTTCTCCTAACGCCATCATTCTATCGACCTGTTAAAACAAATTACGTATTTCCCATCTCAGATCACACTGTTAATACCTTTGTCTGAACGGATGGTTTGGAGGTGGTTTTTCAGGCTCGGTTTGCGTTTCGCAGTTATCTCCATTATTGATGACTGCAATACCCATTTCGTTCTTATCAAGCAACTGTAACTGTTCCAATGTAAGCTTATCTCTCTGGATAACTCTTGATCCATTTCCCCAGCTGTTTGTGTAACGGACCTTCACTAACGGTGGTAGCATTTTCTTAGAAGCTATTATTAAAAAATTCCTCTTTGTTTTTTACGGTTTGAAAAATTTTAGCTCTGGTCAACTATTGAATTCAGGAAATAGTCCGAATAAAAGAAAAACAATTTATTGAGTATGGATGAAAAAAATTTTTATTTGAAAAGATTTTTCAAAAAATGAAGTCCATTTCGACATTCTTCCTTCGGTTATAATCATATCTATCCTTAAAATCATTCGAATTTTTGGTGGCTCATTCTCGATGTTTCTGAAAGATAGAAAATAAGAAGGAAGGAAGATAAGCGGGAAAAATGAGCAAACCACCACTACAACCCGACAATTATTTGGTATTAACACTCGTATTCGATTAGTTGCCTGGAGCATCTACCCTCCAACTCCTTCTAAAGGTTCCCTCTACCCACGCAACGACACTCCGCTATCCCGCTCGGCGCGCGCACAGTTTAAATTTAGTTTTGAGGGATTACGAGCTTGGATTTGGCTCGTGGTTGTTCTAGAGACTCTTTTAAGGATTTCAAGTGAGTTTGCTTGAATTCTTAGCTTTTATTTGTTGTTTCTTTCTAACTTGTTCATAATAAACCGATTTTGTTGCATTTCTTGTTGATTTTCTTCTATTTTATCACAGGAACCTGATACCCCGGACATACCGCGGGCAATTGATTCATCGTATGACAATGTGTCTTCATTGTTGTGGATTAATCTGAAAAAATACTGACGGCGAAGAAATAACTGTCCTAATTATTGAACTAACCGCAACACCACATTAAAATAAACAGAAGCTCTCTTCCAGCCACATCATTATTTTTCTTTGATTACGTCATCTCGTTGTGTTTGCCGATGAGCGGTGGTTCCTGAAAAAAACTCGAACATTCCAGAAAGAAAAAGATAAACGACATGGATATGGAGAAATAGAAGACAAAAAGAGTATCGCGCAATTATTTTGCTTTTTATGTACAAATGATCAGTAAAAAACGTTCAAAAACCGACGAA